TCTATGAACAAAAGCATATGTTGCTCAGAAGAAAGGATGTGTCAGTTCCTCTTGTGACAATATGCCGGAGCAGTCATATTTGGCGAGGGTGGTGAGGGTGCCCATCAATCTTGGCTTTGTCGAGCCATAGCCCAGGGGTTAAGGCATTTGCTTTGTGTGCAGAAGGTCCCAAGTTCAACCCCCTGGCATCTCTAGGTGGCCTGGGAACCTCTGAAACCCTGGACAGCTGCTGCCAGGCAGTGCAGAGACAGTTAGATGGGCTGGTGGTTTGCCTCTGTGTATGGCAGCTTCCTGTGGTGCTGTAAGAAATAGATGTTATCAATAGATTGAAGTACACCCTCCTTTTTTGCATACAATGCCATATTCAGCTTCAAGGCAGGGTGGATAAAAATGAATGCTTTTAAAAAAATCAGATTTTTTTTATTTAAATAGGATTTTTAAAAATTTAAATCAGATTTTTTTTCAATTTAAATTTGATTTTTAAAATAAATTGCTTTTGGAGGAAAAATCTTTCCAAAGCTAATTTTCTATTTAAGTTACATTATAGTCCAAAGGCTATTTCATCAGGAAATAAGGATTTGTTTTAAGTTTTTCATGTTTTTTTGTTTAAAAAAGTTGTTCAACAACGTCAGTTAACAAACATGGATACATATCCTATAATGTTATTGTTTCAGTTAAATAAATTGTTTAAATTGTTACTAAGGAAATGATTATTTTTCTCCTTCCAATAAAGTGCAGCAGAAAAGTTGTCCGAATATAAACAGTTAACTTATTAAACCTCACAATGATTCCATAATTATCTATGTATTTCTAATAGTGTAACCAGATCAGTAATTTTTTGATATGAACTACTCTGAAAATTTATTGTTTCAAAAATGAAAACTTCATCTGGTTGTAAATATTAAGATTTTACCAGCAAGAATGAGTCTTTCTGTAAAAAAAAAATGATTTAAATCAAATCTTACTGACTAGTGATTTAAATTGATTTGATTAAAATCAAATCCACCCTGATTCAAGGTGCGAGAGTGTTAATAGATCAAGGCGTCCAGTACCTGTTCACGTGAGAACTTCTCATACCTGAGTGGCTTAGGTATCATCAGTGGATGAGTCTGATGGGATGCCCTGGAAGATGGCCTGAGGGTCAGGAACAGGAGAAGCAGATTGGGTGTGATGAGGAAAGGCATTTGGGTGGAGCAGAAAAGCTCAGGGTTGTGGAAGAAGACAAAACCACAAGTATCTAAGTAAGCTTGCATTTCTTAGGCATGTTTGAAGCTGATGGGGAATTAAGGTTTTCACGTTTGGGAGGCACAAAGAGTTGTTGCTTGGGATTTTCCTAAAGGAAAGGCTCATTGCAAGTGCATCTTTTACGTATAGGTGTTTCAAATGCCTCAAGACCTCCAGGATAAATATATTGCTATGAGTTCATGGGTGCTGGACTCCTCTGGTCCGTGGATCCAGCAAGTGTTAACATTTAATCAAGCCAGGCTAGCTTCCACCCACCTGGGTGATGGGCCATTAAGATAACAAAGGAAAAGGGAGCACTGTGCCAGATGACAAATGGGTGGAGCACTCCTTTGACTTGCAGACAGTGAGAAGGACAAAAGCCAGAATTCAGAGCAGGGTTTTGGGGCTGTGGTGTCAACTAGAGGCCAAAACAGCAAGCTGGGGAGAGAGTCAGAGAGCAATGTTTGATTTCTGTTTGAATCCGAGGCTGTTTCTATGAGAGAAGCAAGACCCCTTCGGGGTGTTAATGCTGTGAACCTCTCCATCGTAGGCTCATGTTGTATATACAGTGGTACCTCTGGATGCAAAAGGGATCCATTCTGGAGCCCCGTTCGCATCCTGAGCAGAACACAACCCACGTCTGCGTGTCTGTGCGGGTCATGATTCACCGCTTCTGCACATGCGTGACGTCATTTTGAGCATCTGCGCATGTGCGAGCGACGAAACCCAGAAGTAACCCATTCCGTTACTTCCAGGTCGCCGTGGAACGCAACCTGAAAACGCTCAACCTGAAGCTACTTTAACCCGAGGTATGACTGTAAGTGTAAATAAACTTATATCATAAAGCCACCACCATCTTGTTGTTAGCCGCTCTGAGCCTGGCTTTGGCTAGGGAGGGCGGGATATAAATAAAATTGTATTATTATTATTATTATTATTATTATTATTATTATTATTATTATTAACTCGGCTGTGCCTCATCTCCAAAAGGAAACACACACCCTGGGCAATCACCTGGAACCTCTGGAATTTTGCCCTGCTCAGAAATCAGGGTGACATGCAATAGTATGAATAAGTCACAAGCAAAATGAAATGGCTGTGAGAAATTGGGGCTCTACGCACCGATAGTAATTTTGTGAGAACAGTATTGGGGAGGAGCACAACTAAAGACTACCTGTTGGGGTGTATGTGTCCCCCTTTGCTGCAGAAGCACGAATCTGTGCCGGACGTTGCCTTGCCCTTTCCTTTTCCCCTTGCACCTGTGCTGGGCCAACTCATTTGTGCCACCTGTCATGTAGGTAGAAGAACAAGGACTGGAGATCTCGGGAGATTTGAGAGGCATTGCTATCAGCTTTGAGTTGCAGTGTGCTCAGTCCATCACTTCACTTGCCATTATTCCAGGACTCTGATAACTTCCAGGAATCTTGATGTGGGGTTGAATACATTTGCTTTCTGTCCGGAAGGGCTCCTTGCTTACAGCTTGCCCGATCAGCATCCTGAACAATGCAGGCTGAACATAGAAGCAAATATAGCTATGCAGTCGCGACTTTCTGAAGGTGGTGTATGTATGGAGAGCACGAAGCCTTAAATTGTACCGGTGGCCTGGTGCAGTGCCTGAGAGTTCTGGCTGTGTGAGTGAGAAGTCCGATGTTTACACCAGGGGTGGGAAACCTTTTTCAGGCCAAGGGCCGCACGCTCATCTGGGCAACCTCCCAGGGGCCACATGCCAGGGGTTGGCGTGGCCAGATGCAAAAGGGGGAGGGGCAATGAATGTTAATTAGGGGTGGCATATGTCCAGAACTTCCTGGACGTAGCTGGACTACGGCTGTCGGAAACAGGAGGGCACATGCAGATGCATTTGAGGAGAGTGTGAAGCAGGCATAGGCTACAACTCCCATCATCCCTGGTCCTGTTAGCTAGGGATGATGGGAGTTGTAGTCCCAAAACATCTGGAGGGCTGAGTTTGCCTGTGCCTGGTGTGAAGTGATGTGGCCCAGGGAAAGAGAGAGGTCAGGGGAGGGGATGCAGCCTAGGAAGAATCTTAGAGATAAATAGAGAGGACTAGACCAATGTTCCCCACCCCCGTTACACCTTTCCTTAACTCTGCTAGCCTTCCTTTTTTACAGCATAAGGAGACTAGTGATGATCTTACAGGATTCAAATAGCTTCACTCCTTTTCACTGCCTCTGAAACTTTGCTATGCTTGTTTGGTGTTCTGCAGAAAGTTTGGGGAAAAAATACAGTAGGATCCCGGTCTGGCAAGGTCCCTTACCCCCTCTTGTGTATCATGGCTCAAAGTCACTGCACAGATGCTGTTTGCCCATATACCCATCTTTTGTCTCTGGGCTTGACATTGGAAGGCACATTTAGCCAGTAGCTTGCGAGTTGCTCTCCTGGTCTGCATTGCTGGATACAGGGGCTTCAGAATCAGGAATGAGCCTGAGCTCCGTCTGAAAGGCAAAACATCCGCTGTGCTCCATTGACACATGGTTCCTGAAGGGAGACCTTGCATTCCAGGGATTCTCCGGCAATAAGAAACAACCTTTTAAAAAGGAGGTTGAAACTAGCAACACTCCGCAGCAGAGCAAGTCCATTCACTGTGGTAGGCCCTGAGTCACGGAAACACCTGCCTTCTCAGACGCACCAGAGTTGGGTGCTAGGTCACTTGTAAAGGCTTCTCTCCTTAGACAAGCTGCTTTCATTTTATTGAACCTTTTTATTGGCCGTTGTTGGGATTTTCTGTTTCTTGTCACCTTGTGTTGTGATTTCAGCTGCTGCATCTTGCCTTGAGAATTTCGGATTGAAAGCTAGCCCGAGCGTTATTAATTAAGTAATTAATTAATTAATCATACCCCGCCCATCTGGCTGGGTTTCCCCAGCCACTTATAAATGAATGAAATAGATCATGGGTAGGCAAACTAAGGCCCAGGGGCCGGATCCAGCCCAGTCACCTTCTAAATTCGGCCTGTGGATGGTCCGGGAATCAGCGTGTTTTTACATGAGTTGAATGTGTGCTTTTATTTAAAATGCATCTCTGGGTTATTTGTGGGGCATAGGAATTTGTTAATCCCCCCCCCCAAAAAAATATAGTCCAGCCCCCCACAAGGTCTGAGGGACAGTGGACTGGCCCCCTGCTGAAAAAGTTTGCTGACCCCTGATATGGATAAACTCGCCTCCCTAAGGGGGGCCAGGAGAGGATGAAGCGGAGAATATTAATTAGGCTGCATTAGTCCTGGTGACATAGTCAAACCAGGGCAGAGGAAAACCTCTTACCTTGGGCTAACTGAGGGTCTGGCTCTCCCACCGCCACCCCTGTCTTTCCAAGCTGCATGAAATGAAGTGCCTTCCCTTGCTTTGGGGAACTGTTTTAGGATGCTCATTCACAGCCCAGAGAGTTCAGATAGCAATGCCTTTCCTTCCCCAAGCTGTTGTCCTTAGCAGGATCCAAGAATGCCGGGACTCGCTCAGATTCTTGTCTTAGCGGGAGCAAACCAGGCAGGAAATACCGGCCTCTTGGCTGGCTTGCAGCGTAAGAGTCTTTGGCACGTGTCCAAGAAGAGCAGCCAAGCTTCTTGCTTAGGTGTGAAATTAGGGATCTCCCAAGAGTGTTGCAGGGAAGGATTTTCTGAGTCTTCCCTGCCTGCCCAGCTGCTTCGGAAAGAGCGTTGTCCTGAAGGGTGTTCCTGGCTTCTGCTTCGGGGGCAGAGGAAGAAATCAGAAGCCCGGGCTGTTGCTCTTGCAGCGTTTTCCTCTTTTGATTCTCCTCTGTCTTCTAGACTCTGCAAAGCCTCCAAGTGATCTGAAGGAGCCGGAAGAGTCTCTGATGCAGACTCCCCAGGGGAACCCGCTGGTGCTTCCCCACACCCTCCCAGAGCTGTTGAGCAAGGACACGGTGCAGGTGGAGCTGATTCCTGAGAAAAAGGGTCTCTTCCTGAAGCATGTGGAATACGAAGTTTCCAGTAAGGTAATGAATGCCACTCGCTGGTGAACTGAAGAAGAAAGAGTGGGGAATCCTTTCCCTGCATTAGTTTCTGTGTTGGGCTGTCACCTGCTTGAAAAGTCATGGGAGGTGGAACATGTCGTTCCAAAGGGTTGGGGGTGACTGCTTCCTTTGTTTTGAGATAATGCACCAGTGTAGCAGGGACCATTTTGAAAGAGGAATTCCCTCCTGTCTATAGAAGAGTTGAGGTGATGAAGAATATTCAAAGATATTTCATCCATGCCTTGCTTGTCAATGCCCAGAGGAGTCTGGTTGGCCATAGATTGCTGGCCTACTTGGTTCTTTGGTCTAATCCAGCCTTTCTCAACCTGTGGGTCCCCAGATGATGTTGAACTACAACTCCCATCACCCCTAGCTAGCAAGGCCAGAGCCCAGGGATGATGGGAGTTGTAGTCCAACAACATCTGGGGACCCACAGGTTGAGAACCGCTGGTCTAATCTGTCAGGGGCTCTTGCTAAAAGGGAATTAAATGTTTGAATGTTGTATATCTTGGAGCACTAGCTGCTGGGGAGCCAACAGTAAGGAACAGTTATTTCCTTTGAGCTCTGCATTTCTTGCAGGCATCTGGCTTGACATTTCTGGAAGTAGAATGCTGGGCTAGATGGAACTTTTGGCCTGGGTTCTTCTCATGAAGAAATGCAGTGGGCCTGCTGAAGCACTGAAAGGGTTTCCTCCCTCTTTCCCTCCTGTAGCGTTTCAGGTGCTCAGTGTACAGGCGGTACAATGACTTTGTGGTCTTCCATGAGATGCTTCTTCAGAAGTTCCCCTACCGTATGGTTCCTGCTCTTCCCCCCAAAAGAATGCTAGGAGGTACGTCTTGGGCTGCTGAGATGAGATGCGCTTGAGGAGGGATGGTCAGAGTAGCACAGGCTCAGAGGCTCTGCAGCAACAACATTATTCCAATTCAATTCAGACTTCACATCAAAGGGTAGTTCGTGGTAACCAAAGCTAAGAACCTACACAGTGGCTTGAGTTTCCAGATGTATATCAGGCAAACCATGGTTTGGAGCTGGTTGTGGGATTTCCTTTCCCATCTGCTCAGCACTTCTCTTAATAAATCCATCCCTTCCTCCATGGTGCAAGCCAGCCTCTTCAGATTTTTTAGAAATCTGTCAGTGGTTTGTGAATTCAGACGTAATAGCAAACTGTGAGGATAACTTCAGGTGGAAAGCCCAACCATGGTTTGGCATTATGTGTGAATTCAGCCATCATGTCTGGAGGGGAAGCTAAGCCAGCAATAGAGACCAGCAACTGGCAGGCAAACACAACGCCATAATTTTGTCCAAGTTCAGAAGCATCTTTTGCCTCCGGGGTGACTCAGATGTTTCTGTGCTACAGATCCCATCATTTCTGATCATTAGCCATGATGGCTGGTGCTGATGGGAGTTGTGGTATGCTAGATTTTGCTGAACCACATGTTAGCTCCCTCTGAGCTATATTCTTCGGATTGTCTAGGAAATCCTATATTGAGAGAACTCCAGTTTTAACAATCACTTATGCGGGTGGATAACACATTCTTAAGAGTACTCAATTTGCATGATTTGTTCCGAACCCAGAGTTTGTGTTTTATGTACATGGTTTTCTGCCCCCAGCTTCTTACTGTTTTGATAAGAATTCTGTATGCTTGAGAACATAGAAGGAGGAAGACTTCTATGAAGAGCAAGGAAGGTCTCCATGCTCCGTTTTGGAGCCTCTAACTGTGTACACACTATACCTTCAAAGCACATTTGAAGGATATTTTCTCCCTCAAAGTATTCTGGGCCCTGTAGTTTATCCCTCAGAGAGTTACAGTTCCCAGTGACCTTAAGCAAATTGGTTTTATGTCTAAACAGAGGTGGTAGAGAAGGTTCTTGAGGCTGGAGGTTTATTTTTTTTATCCTGCACCGTGTTCCTTCTCAAAGCTGACCGAGAATTTATTGAGACGAGGCGGCGCGCATTGAAGCGCTTCATTAACCTGGTGGCTCGGCATCCTCCGTTCTCGGAAGATGTGCTTTTGAAGCTCTTCCTCTCCTTCAGCGGGTCGGTGAGTACAATGAAGCTGAACGGTGAAATATTCAGGGTTAAACTATGGAACTCTGTCCTGCAGGAGGCAGGACCAGACAAATTCATGGAGGAGAGGGCTGCTGGTGGCTATCAGCCAGGATGGCTATGCTCTGCTCTTATGGTCAGAGGCAGTAATGCTTCTGAATACCTTTTGTTGAAAACCAGATAATGGGCGACTGGTCTTGTGCTCGGTTCCCGCTTGCCGGTTTCCTAACAAGCACCTGGTTGGCCACTGTGAGAACAGGATGCTAGACTGTGTGGGCCATATTGGCCTGATCCAGCAGGCACTTCTTATGCTCTTACTCCTGAGTAGTGCATTACAGTGTATGTTGGATGCATCTGTTCTGTGTGGACCAGGAAACTCATCTGACTAACTTTTGTCTAATTGCAAGTACCGTATTGGCCCAAATATAAGCTGCACCTTTAAAATTCAAGGGGGGGGGAGAGAATACCTGAATACAAGCCGCTCCCTTAGAATTCTGCATGCACTCACACCTGTTCCGTTTTACCGTATGTCTGTTTCAGCAGCGATACCGTAAAAGCCCATTTTTGTAAGGTCGCAAATTTAAGCCGCACTTTTTACTTTTCATGATCAGAATTTGGGCTGGGGGGGGAGTGCGGCTTATATTCAGGCCAATACTGTATAATATTGCTAACCAAGGGGAATATAGAATAATCTTCCTTATAGTAAAGGTGCTTCTGGATGTAGACCACGGGTGTCAAACACAAGGTCCGCGGGCCGAATCCGGCCCACCAGACCTCGTCATGTGGCCCATGTAGCCGCCGCCGGCCGCCAGCCTTCACCTTTTATTCTCGCTTTTTTTTTTTTTTTGGACACAAGAAAGCCGCCTCTTCAGCGCATGCGCGGCAGCCTACAAGCCAGAGAACGTCTGCCCTCTAGCAGCGCCGGCCGTTCTACACAGGAAATAATTTATGATAATAAAGAGTGGACACATAGTCTTACAGATACAACCGGCCCTTTGAGGGTGACCAAACTGCTGATGTGGCCCCCGATGAATTTGAGTTTGACACCCCTGATGTGGACCATTTATATGGTCATTCAGATCTGATTCCCCCCCCCCCGGTATGTGCATTTGGCATGTTAGCTTCTACACCTTTCAGTCAAAATGTTCATTGCTAATCTGCCGCTTGCTGTCCACACCAATGGACAGAGTTTGATGGGATATATCTGGACTGTATGTCTCCTCCACTTGCCCAAACTACCTTTTCCATTCTGGACATGTGTACATGTATTTAAAAAACAAATTCCCAGGAAATGTGTACAAGTAAACATTGCCAGTCTTACCTAGCGATTCATCATGTTTCACAAAGTGCAAAATGGAGGCTTGTGCTTTGTTTTGGAGGGTTGTGTGTTGTGAGTTGGTGGTGTGCACATTCCCTAAAGGAGTTAGCCAGCATTGTGGCAGAATTAAAATGACTTTGAAAATGGCAGAAGGGATGAGTGCAGGGGACAGAGCAGTCTTTGCCAGCCTGGTGCTCTCCAGATATTTTGGACTGCGACTCACATTGGCCTTAGCTGGAGAGCACCAGGTTCCTGGAAACTAGGACAGAGGGGCCCTGAGGACTGTGATGGAATCTTGCCTATGGGTTCTATGAGGAATGCATTTTTATTTTTTTATTTTTAATAATAGTTCTATCCAAGACATTCCAAAGATTCCAGAACAATAGAGTGGAGATGCTGTTGCACATTTCCAGATTTCTGTTTTGGCAACCTGGAGGGATGGAAAAATGTTTTTAAAGGGGAGCTAAGATTGTCTACAAGGTCAGCTTTGCAGCAAAATCCATGGCTTATGTGAAATAGAGGCACTCTCAATGGCGTGTCTCTTGCATTGATCATTTTTGATTGTATCCAACTAAGTCCTGCCTAGAGTAGATCCATTAAAATTACAGATCCTAAGATAACCACAACCACTAAATTCAGTGGGACTAATACTGGATACAACCCTTTTGAGCTTCATTAAAATACCTTTCAGTGGGTCTCATGGTTTTAAAGTTGACAGTTCTTAGTATCCTCCAATAGTTGTTTGGAGTGATTTCTAAAAACCCTTTTGTGTATTCCATTCAGTCTGCCTTAAAATGCTTGCCCCTTCTCTCTAACCCTCTAGCAATGAACAGACCACACACTGTTAAGTAACTTTAAAAGCTTTACTTACTAAATCCAAAGGTCTGATTCATGCATTGTTCTATGCAGCAGTAAGGAGAACACAGGTAGTTTACTCTTGGGTGCAAAATACAAAATATAGTTTCAAACATGCGGGCTGAAGTTTGAGCATGTTCAGACATGTCCATCCTGGTCAGTTACATGGCATGGAGAGAATAAGATTAAAAGGCAGAGAAGCAGCTTCACTTCCTCCCTCAGGAAGATAAGGGGGCATGACCTAGTTGAGTCTAGGAACAGGCCTCTCTGATCTTTTCTTTAAAAAATAATTTTGCATTTTCTATTTTATATAAACAAGCAAAATAAAAACATAAACATATAATCCCCTTTGACTCCCCCATCCATTGTAGATCTTAATATAATGATTTTTCCCCCTTTGCATCTCTTTCATTATTCTTATAAATCCTTTATCATTCCATAGTCAAATTTTTACTATAGGTTTTCTGTCAGTCCTACCAATGTGTGCAATTGTTTACAATAGTTTTTCAAATAGATTATAAACTTTCCCCATTCTTTATTAAAGACCTCCCCTTCCTGGTTTCTAATTCTTCCTGTAAGTTTTGCCATATCGGCATAGTTCATCCATTTTATCTGCCACTCTCCTTTGGAGTTGTACAGTCTTTCCATTTCTTGGCTGACAGAATCTGCGTAGCCGTGGTCATGTACATGAATAGTTTCATTTGGTCCTTTGTGATCTCTGGTCCTGTAATATCTAAAAAAAGGCATTTGGTTTCTTAGGTTATTTTCAACATTTCCCTCCCAATTCATTATATATCATTTCCCAGAAGTCTTTTATCATCTTACATGACCACCACATGTGATCAAAAGTACCCTCTTTCTCTTTACATTTCCAGCATGTTTTAGACTTTGTTTTATACATTTTAGCTAATTTACTAGGAGTAAAATACCAATGGTGCGTCATTTTCATATAATTCTCCTTCAAAGTGTAACATGAGACCTCTCTGATCTTAACCCTTTCATGCACTAACTAGCAGTTATACATAGTAATACTTGACTGCAATGTCCCACATTAAGGCCTTTCCTGTTATTGGATATTCAAATGTATTGTTGTGCCAGAGCATAGAAGGTTCACTCTTGAAGAAGCCAGACTGGAGTTGGAGTGCTCTAAGATACAGTGCTGTGGCGTTCAGCGGGAATCTGGCGAAATAGTTGATTTGGGAAGAGGGTGTTTTGCAAGCATAGCCAGTGCCAATACTTTGCAAGGTCAGACTGCTGCCTGTCTCTTAGGGTGGAGGGAGCAGGGAAGCGCTGCAGGTTTCCTTCCCATAACAATCTCGGAGCTGGCCTTGATTGGCAGCCTTGCTTTTGGTGTGTCAGCTTGCCCCCCTCCCCCACAAGAGGCAATTAATGGTTGGGACACATGTTTGCTTTGCCTAGAGAAGCAAAACGCACTGGCGTGTTCAATAAGGTTGTGCAGTCACAAGACATGGACTGAGGGTAAGTCACCTGATAACACAAACACACACATTCTCTCCCTCCCTCTAAAACAAAATCTGTTTCCATTGCTTTTCCAGGATGTGCAGAACAAGCTGAGGGAGTTGGTCCAGGGTGTGGGAGACGAATTCATGACTTGCAAGCTCGCAACTCAGGCCAAGGTATTTTGTCTCTCTCATGTAGCTGGAAAGTCTCCTACCTGCTTGGGAAAACAGCAGCGGTTTTGTTTGAACAGGAAGCTCCCAAAGGCTTCTTTTGTAACAGCGAAGAGAGGCGCTGGCTGCAATTACGCTCAGGCTGCTTCGATCCCACTGACTTTGGCATTTCAGGAGCTCAGCCATGTGTGGAAGGCTCACTCCCACTGTTTGCAGCTGACTCCTGCCTCTGATTGGGTGAAAGGAGAGGAGGAAAATGGTGGTCCAACAATATTTATTAACTATGTAGCACCTACACTTACACAGTGTACAAGAATATATTAACAACAGACTCTGCTGGCAGTTTTGCAATCTAGAGCGCACTTTCTGGCAGCTAGAGATAATTAGCTGGTTGTCTTTGTAAAGGGGGGGGGGAGTGTCTGTAATGGCGCCATCTGCTGGATCAGAGCGATCACTACAAGGTGGACTACTTTTTCCAGTTAACATTTAGGGAAGGCATAGGCAAACTCGGCCCTCCAGATGTTTTGGGACTACAATTTCCATCATCCCTGATATCACGGGAATTGGGGTTGCTTGTGTGTAAACCTCCAACTGCTCCAAACTGCTTGGGGTGGTTGCGCCTTTCCCTAGCTGAGCAGCCCTTTTGCGCGGCTGCTTCAGTCGCTGGCAGAATCCGTCAGTGGGCGTTTCCTAAACTTCTTCCAGCATAAGAATTCCTTAACAGACAACCTCCTCCTCGCCTCTCTGCGCGGAAGCCTTCTGCGCAGAGTGGGCGTGCCAAGCGGTGGTCCTCCACTCTCCTCACTGACCTCACTGGAAGAGTCTCGGAGCCTCCCCTCCGAAGTGCTCTCAGCCTCTCCTTTCTTCCAGGTGCACCTGGACTTCCTTCCCCAGCGGAAGCTCTCTCTCTTCCCTTACTGGTTCCCTCTCCGGCATCATCAGGGAGCCTAACCTCTCCACTCGGCTCCGATGTCAGTTCCCTGACACCTGATCACTGGTCTTGTTAGCTAGGGATGATGGGAGTTGTAGTCCCTGATTTAGGGCCAAGCTATAAATGTGGAATGTGTTTGGTTGGATCTCCTGTCTCCTTAAATGCATTCTAAAAGGAGCTGTGTTGTGGAGTGATGGGGAGCAGATTGCATTAGGGCTATTACAGCACAAGAGAAGGGGTGCTTAATCCTCATGGCTGTAGCACTTTCCCCAAGGACAATTTTTTTACTGCCCTTTTTAGTATATACCTAAGGGTAGTTTGCCCTCTTAGGGATAACATTCAGGTTCACATATGTTATCGCATGTATGGACCTGTGTGTTTTCTCCACTGGGGTACCTAATAGGCTGCTAGCCACGGTGGCTGTGCTTTGCCTCCACAGTCAGAGGCATGCATGTTTCTGAATACCAGTTGCTGGAAACCACTGGGTGTGCTGCTGTGCCCAGGTCCTGCTTTTGGGCTTCCCATAGGCACCTGGTTTGGCCCCTGTGAGAACAGGATGCTGGACTAGGTGGATCACTGGCCTCATCCAGCAGCCCATTCTTAGGTTCTTACAGGAGCTAGAGGAGTTCAGTTCACACCAGGAAAATGGCAGGGGGTAGGGAGGGTTAACCTTGCCCTCCCCAGTTCTGCATTCTTGATACAATTGGGTCACCTGCCACTCGCTTTTAAGAAGATGGGAAACCCAGTTGCAGATCTCCCACCTTGCCTTGTTTGGTTGTCTGGCTTCACGATCCCCAGCACTATTGCAACCCTGGAAGATTTTGCAAGAAATCATCACTTGGGCAACACATCCGCCCATTTCTTTGATTCCTGCTCCACCTATTACTCCACCTTCTTGGAAAAAAAGGTGGATGCTTTTCACCCTTTTGTGATCCATGTATTGGCAGAGCCCCAGCTTAACTTTCCACACCTCCCTATGTTTGTGACACTGGTAGCTGGGTGTGTGAGCGTCTGCTTGGAATTGCCTGATTATTGGAAAAGTGGGTCGTGTGGAGTTGCAAAGAGATTCCTAATGCTGTCTGAGCTTGTAGGCAACTTCTCTCTCTCTCTCTCTCTCTCTCTCTCTCTCTCTCTCTCTCACTCACTCTCACTCACTCTCACTCTTGCTCTCTGTGAAGCTCTTTCGTAGGACCGGTTGTGAACTAATTTGTGTTCCACTCTAGGATTTCCTGCCAGCTGACATCCAGGTCCAGTTCGCTGCCAGCAGGGAGCTGATCCGAAACATCTACAACAGCTTTTACAAACTGCGGGATCGAACAGAGAGGATAGCCTCCCGAGCTGTTGACAATGCCTCAGACCTCCTTTTGTTTGGGAAGGAACTAAGGTGAACTGAACTATCTCTTTTGCAACCTCAAACGCAGGATAAACTAGATGAGATGATGGAGATCTGTCCGGTCACTTTTTACATGATGACAAATTGCAGCTGTCGAGGGGCCCTGATCTGTTTTGGGACTGTGATGCTGTGGAATGGGAGAGTAACTATTCTCCTTTGCACTGTTTTTCTGAAACAAATCACATCTCCCCATCACCCTCACCCAAAATCTGTTTGTCCCCTTAAGCTCTGTATACAAAGGTGTTCCCTGGGTGCATGAATGTTTCCCCAAATGGGGCAGATAGCAACTTCTTTAGAGGGTGGGACTGGAGTCATAGAAACTTGGGGAAATGCTGCAGAGAGAGAAGGTGTTGCTTTCCTTCCTCTGTGCTGCTGCCCTGATCCACATCAAGTGCCCCACTGCTTCTGTTTGCCAGCATTTGAAGAAATTCCACAACAGGTGACCTTTATCTCATCTGCTTTGATCCTTAGTGGCAGAGGCACGATACCTTTTTGCAAGAACTGTGTGTCTGTATGAGCTCACAGTCCTGTTCCATGGGGATCTTTGGAGCTAGTCTCCACCTTTTCTGATGGAACATGAATAATCTGAAGAAAGGTGTGTTTCCTGATCATTGCATGCTCCCTAAAAAGGCTAGGACAGCTTGAGTTTAATATACACAGAGCTACCAGGGAAGACTGGAGAGTGGAATTGCAATAAGTGGCTGCCCTCAGTGTGGCCACACGGGGCACTCCCTGCACCAACTGATTTAAGTCTTTCTTTCTCCTGGCTGCTGTGTGTTAGATCTATGTTAGATCTGAACAAGCCTTAATTTTGCAGATGGGTACAATCACTGGCGGAGAAAAGAGGTGTGGTGGGTGCGGCCCGCCGCAGGTGTCATCCCTGATGGAGGTGTGACATTGCTGCTCTGTCCCCCTGGACCACTCGCAGCACCCCCCGGGACACTTACCGCTCGCTGCAGGCGGCAACCCCCTGGCACACTTGCCATAGGTGGCAACCCCCTGGGAGGCTTGCCGCTCGTGGCACCTCCCCCCAGGTGCACAGCATGAGCGCCGCTCCAGGTGCTGGAGCATCTAGCTCCGCCTCTGGGTACAATGACCAAGGCTGTGTAAACATTGTGATTCTGTGATAGCACTGTCCAAGCACAGGATTTGGTGGTGGGTGCAGAATTTGGAACCTGCTTTCATTTTGTTTAAAGCAAGTTTCTAGCACCTGGGGGGGGGGGGTGGTTTGCAATGATGTGCTTGGAAGTGTGTAAACAAATTAATATAAACACATTTTGCTCAGTTTGCAAAATGTGTGCAAGTGGCAGGATCCTATTTACATTATTGCAAAATTGCGGTTTTCATTTTTGATCCAGATCACAGGCAAGTCTGACAATGATCACTGATCACTTTATCCTCTGTAGCTGTCAGCTGCAGAAGAACAGGGTGTGCACTGGGGTGGGGGAAGGGTCTTGAGTTGCAAAGCATAATGAGGGTCTAGTTAAAGAAGAAAACAGAGCTGTAATTTGGGACAGGGGACCCTTGGGCAGAGCTGTGGGCCTTGTGGAAGTCTCTTCCTAGACCCTCTTGCATGCTTCTTTTCTTCCTGTAGTGCTCTGGGCTCCGACACAACCCCACTCCCTTCCTGGGCTTCTCTGAACAATAGTGCTTGGGGAAACCTCAAACAGGCCCTGAAAGGCCTTTCTGTCGAATTTGCACTGCTGGCTGACAAAGCTGTTCAACAGGTGAGCTCCTGCTGCTTCTTCCTTGAAGGAAACGGGCTTTGTAGTTGTGCCCCTCTTTCCCCATAGCACTCCTCCCCCCAGTATCAAAATTCAGGGCCCTGCAGGATCAGACCTGCAAACAGCCATGTTTCTGGTTCATGGGGATACTGGTTATCATCTGGAGGGGTCAGAAGCAAGTAGCACAGCCCAGGGCAGGCAGGTTCTAAAAGGCCAGTAGCCCAGAGAAAGGAAGATGAGGCACAGGAGTCATAACTTGAGCTCCACACCCACCTAGATTTGCGTACCTGACACTTCTCCATCCCCTTGAGAAAAGGAGGATCTGTGCCCTTCTGTGGCTTATACATCACTGGAAGGAACCTGACCTAAATTCTCCACGCCTTGCTGAGTTTGCAGCACTGTGGTGGCTTGGTGCATGTGCATGAATATGTTTAAGGGGGAAGGTGCTGATTAATTGAAGAGTGGTCTTGGCACACACGCTCTCTCTCCTCAATCACTCCTTTTTCTCTCTGAACTTGGGGACACTTTGCTCCTCTCTCTTTCTGCTGTGAATAGTCATCTGTTTGTTTTGACAGCCATATGAAGCTCCTGTAGAGCAGCCAGCCTGGCTGTCAAATGCCTTAGAGTGAGGATTGCAGTCGGAGGGTGTGGTTATTATATAAGGCCGGGTGTGCCCCTGATGGCTCCTCAAACCATCCGATTCTGCCTGGCTGATGAACTAACTGCACAACAGCTTTCAGTCATTATTGGTGTGGCGCTGCAGAGCGGCAGTGGTCTGCCAGGTCATCCTCTTTGCAGCCCCGGTGGCTTAAAGAGCAAGGCATCGAACCCTGTTTCCAGATTCCCAGTCGGAGCCTCCTGGCTCATCACTTCCCTTTCTCAGGCCCTGCTTAGATGGACAGCCTTGGCATCTAAGCCTGTTAGTCCAGGGCACTCCCACTGTAGGTCTTTGAGACTGGAGATGTTGGGACAAGAGACTTGGAAATGTCCTTCCCCGTGTTCTGTGCCTGGATGGACTGCAGCCCAAGTCCACCCTGTTTCTTTCACTCATTTGCCCTTCTGCTTTCTAGGGTAAACAGGAAGAGAATGATGTGGTGGAGAAGCTGAACCTTTTCCTGGACTTGCTCCAGTCCTATAAAGTAAGCCCTGCTTTCTCCCTGCCAGTGTGTGAGTGAATGGCTCAGAAACAGCTGTGTGTGCTTGCTAGAGGGCGTTACACGAGGCTTAATGGAAAACTATCCAAGGAATGAGTTGGGAGGCCAAACTAGACATTCGGGAGGTTCTGGTGGCAAGTTGGGCCTTTTCCAGGGCTGTGTGCTGGTCCTGGGAGGTGGAGCAGGCCAGGAAATACGGCCAAGGTTATTTCAGTTTCAGGTCATCTCAGTTTAGTGTTACGTTCAAAATCAGGAATCCTGGTTTACACAAACTATGGTTAGTTGCTAAACAAGCCAACTTCAAACCATAAATTATGATGATGTCTTGTTTTAACTAACAGTTGTCTGTTTTAAACAAGGGTTCCTGGTCTGCATGCAACATTAAACTGCGGTTCTTTGAAGCTGAAAGTAATCTCTGTTTTGCTCTGGGTCAGAGGCTTGTCTGTGTATTGCAAAGCCATGGTTTAGTGTAACATGTGAACCGGCCCCTTATCCTACTCACACCCATGTATCCCTAAGATTTTGTATTGCATTTGTATGATGTATTTTAACTTCCTGTGGTGTTTTAATTCACTGTGGGAGCCAATTATGTCTGATAAGTGGGGTATGAATGTAGTACAGCCCCCCTGTTACAGATGGGAGGATAGCGGCTGAGAAAAGGTGTGTTGCTTGAGGCCCACATAGTGAAATTGTGGCAAATATGAGATCTGAATGAAAAGCTTCCCAGCTCAAGAGATCTGTTTCATTCTGATATTGGGAAGTGATGCAGGCAAACATTCAGACTGTGCTGGCAGAGAAGAAACTTTGCTGTGCTCATTATTTCCCCCCAGTGTGCTCATTATTATTGCCCTTGACAACCTCCTGTGTCTCCAAATGCTACCTGCTATTTAACAAACCTTTTTTTTAAAAAAAGATGGTAATTCTTGTTAACTTCTTTGAAATTGACTGCAGCATAAAAATAATTATTATTTCTTGGAGCAAGATGGGCTGTGCCACACACAGGAAGTTAAAATACATCATACAAATGCAATACAAAATCTTAGTGATACATGGATGTGAGTAGGATAAGGGGCTGGTTCAAAAAAAAGATTTTTGCAAATCTTTTTTATTAAGCATTTTAGATATATGGCATGAGACACAAAATACGAAACACACACACACACACTCTGCTGGCAGCAAGCAGTTTCCTGCAGTGCATTTAAAGTGCAAACTGGAGAGTCAAACAGTAAAAGCCAAGAGGTGGTAAAACTCAATATCTACAGACCAAAAGCCTTTTTGAAAGGGACAGGGAGGTCTGTATGCTGCAGTGGAAGGAGGCCACCCTGAAAGATGGCATCTCTGGGTGCATCCACAGAAAAAGCCCTCTCCATTGTTCCAACCAAACAAGGGTTTGGGATGGATGAGGTCTTCTGAATCCTTTAATATATGGGCGGGCTTATATTAGCATTGCAGAACCTTTTATTTCTAAATCGGTTTTTTATCAGTTCTCCTGTTCTATCTTCCCAGCATGTTCTGTGGTTCTCCCCCCCCCCATTTTTAATTTTTATTTTGACAAAGTAATAATCATAAATAAGTAAGAACAAAAATTTTCACCCCACCACTGAGACCATTCCATTGTAACTATCCAACCTCCCAAAATTTCAACACCTCTTGTGATAGTTTGATCCCTTTCCGCTTTAACAGTACAAATTCTAAAAACACCTTCTATATCTCCTCAAAATGATTTCTCCTGTGTATTCCCCATCTTACCTTAATGACACATGTTAATTCATCACTAATAGCTATAGCCCACACCTCTTTATACCACTGTTATGTGGATCTGAGCTGTATAGAAAGCATCCTCTTTTATAGAATGATCTGACTTTTCTCTCTGCGATGTAGGATCTTTGCGAGCGGCATGAGAAGGGAGTTCTACACAAGCACCAGAGAGCCTTGCATAAATATAGCATGATGAAGAGGCAGATGATGAGCGCCACAGTGCAGAACAAAGAGCCAGAGTCTGTGGAGCAGCTGGAATCCCGAATAGTGGAGGTAAAATCCCCTTCTTCTCCTCCCATTGTATGTAGTTTCTAAGCATTCAGGGCTTTGTGCATTCTGTCCAGACAAGTGTCTAGCCCACCTGGCTGTGGCCAGTGCCTTGTGAAACTCTTGCTAGTCAAGATTTCCAATGGTTCAGAGTGGTTTTGGGTTTTAGTCACCTTTAGTATCTGTGCAAAATAGGGAAATACTGCTGGGCTGGGTAAAAACAAAGACATACTCGGAGTAGTGTAGAGTTATCTCTTTGATTTAGTTGTGGATCGTGCGTTCTGACCATAACAATACCCAGAGTGGTAGACATGTGGCACGTTAAAAAAGGAAAATGGTAAAACCATCTAAAACTCCTGCTAAAGTCTCTAAGAACATCCAGGAATCAAACATTCCCAGGTTAACAAAAACCAAACAGGTAAAACCGAAAAGTAAACTGGATCTGACAATCGACAGCATGCATTTGCTCACAAGGCCAGGTTAAAGCTTGGTAGAAAGCAAGAAAAGATGGGGCTAAGCAGGCTCCTGTTGACAGAGCTCCACCAAAGAGAAAAGTAAAAGACGAGACTTGGAGCTTTGTCTCTAAAAGACATAGAGAGTCTCATAGGGGATTAGGTGCTCCTACAGTCCAGATCTGGGGAGCCTGGGAAGTACAGGAAACTGCTTCAGCGGAGCAAGGAAGGGGATAATAGGCTTTGTATGGCCTGACCTGGTCAAGAAAAAAGCCATCTGCTTTTTTCTTGCTGCCCCCTGCACTCTCAGTTGTGTTAGTATCCTGCTGTATATGTGAGTCACTGACTGGTTGGGCAAACCCTGTGGTTGTTAAGGCAGCATGTCCAATAACAGCCTCCCCTTGTTGATAATGACTTGCTGCCTCATCTTTGTGGTTGCTTACAAACCTCTGGGGCTCTTGCTGTTGTGGGTGCTCAAGCTCCAGAAACAGGGGAGCTTAAATCGCCCCATTCTAGCATGAGAGACAACTGTTGAGTTATGTATATTGCATCCATCCTGCCCTCTGTGTCTGCTTCAGGAGCATCCCACCAATCTCTCCTCTTCTTTTAACAGCAAGAGAACGCTATTCTGACTATGGAGCTGCGGAATTACTTCTCACTGTACTGTCTGCACCAAGAGACCCAACTGATCCACATTTACCTTCCTCTAACATCTCACATCTTGGGGGCTTTTGTCAATTCACAGATCCAAGGTCACAAGGAGGTGAGCACCTTTTAAAATAATTGCTGTTACAGTCGTACCTTGGATCCTGAACGCCTTCGCACATGGACGTTTTGGCTCCCAAATGCTGCAAACCCGGAAGAGAGTGTTCCGGTTTGCGAATGTTCTTTGGAACCCCAACATCTGATATGGCTGGCACAGCTTCCGATTGGCGGCAAGAGCTTCCTGCAGCCAATCAGAAGCTGCACTTTGGTTTCTGAATGGACTTCCAGAACGGATTTCATTTGACTTCCAAGATACGATTGTACCTCGGGTTACATATGCTTCAGGTTACATACGCTTCAGGTTACAGACTCCACTAACCCAGAAATAGTACCTCGGGTTAAAAACTTTGCTTCAGGATGAGAACAGAAATCGTGCTCCGGCAGTGCAGCAGCAGCGGGAGGCCCCATCAGCTAAAGTGGTGCTTCAGGTTAAGAACAGTTTCAGGTTAAGAACCGACCTCCGGAATGAATTAAGTATTTAACCCGAGGTACCACTGTTTTACTTATTCAGTTGTTTCTCACAGGAGCCCAGAATGGAAAACAAAACAACACAAATTTTTAAAAATATTTGCAGCCTATCTGTATATCTTTCTGTGTCTATATAAATAGATACTTGATGGGTGATCGTTCCTTTCAGCTTCTGCCAGTTTGGTTTTTTTAAGCGTCCCCCGTGAGAATTCCCAGTTCTTTTTGGGTTGGTGAAGGCAGAATTCCCTCTAAGCCAGTGTGTGTTTATTTATTAATGAATGCATGGGACCTGCAACCCAGTGTTGCGGAGTAGAGAGTTCCTTGTTCTGCGTTTGTGCCAGTCAGCCAGGATACTCCACTCCCACCCCCTCCACAACATTTTCCATATCTCTCTCCATATTGCTGTTTCCAAAAGAGCAATTTACCAATGGCAACAAGCAAGCTGCTTTGAAGCAGTACAAGGCTTGAAAAAGTTAAGGGTCCAGTCTTCTGTGTAATGCTTCTGTAAAAGTTTGGCTTACTCTTGAGGCTTGCTTCCCCCGCCCCACAATGCTGCCTTGGGTGTAGACCCTCAAGGACCTCGCTGACTTGCCTGAATGCCAGATTGTGCCCTTCTCTCCTCTTCTCCGTGGTATGCCCCATGGAGGACCTTAAGGTCCATAAATAGCAACACCCTAGAGGTCCCGGGCCCTAAGGAAGTTAGATTAGCCTCAACCAGAGCCCAGGGCCTTCTCAACACTGGCTCCGGCCTGGTGGAACGCTCTGTCTCATGAGACCAGGGCCCTGCGGGATCTGATTTCTTTCCATAGGGCCTGTAAGACAGAGTTGTTCCGCCTGGCCTTTGGCTTGGAGTCAATCTGATTCTCTCCCCCTCTTTTTTCCTTTCTCCTCCTGTGATGAGGCTGCATTTTAATGTTGTATTTTAATCTTGTTTTTAAGTTGTATTCATTCAACTTGTTTTTATTATTGGTTGTTAGCCGCCCTGAGCCCGGCCTTGGCTGGGGAGGGCGGGGTATATATAAAATTTATTATTATTATTATTATTATTATTATTATTATTATTATTATTATTATTATTCTCCTCCCTTTAGATGAGCAAAGTCTGGAATGAACTGAAGCCGAAGCTGAGCTGCCTTTTCTCCGGATCAAGCAACTTGTCAGCTCCACCCTTGTCTTCCCAAGAAGTCAACTTCTTTCCTAGTTAATGCTTTTGGACTGGGGGCGTGGCAGGGAGCGAAAGGGAGGAGCTTGTTCTCCTGCGCATATGGATGTCGAGAAGTCTCCTCCCATCGGCTATATTAGTCCTTGTTGTTTCGTTTTGCTGCTTTGAGCTGCTCCATGATATATGGGCTGCCGGGAAATGTGACAGTGCGTAGAGCCAGAATGAGCAAGTTCAAACGGTTGTTATCTCCGCTTCATCAGTTTTGCTTGTGCGCACAGCCCCTTCATGCGACTGATCAAAAACAGCAGTGACTCTTTCACTCACTTGTTTCCCATTCATCCGAACCAGGAAGCTGTGGTTAGCAGCTTTGGAATAAGCCACAATAGTAAACCATGGTGTGATGTTGGCTTAATGTACTGACCATACCGTAGTTTGCCAGTTTGGGTGAAATGGGAAAATCGCATTAAATGGAAGACTTCCTGACTTGCTCAAGTAGAAGGAGGCACAACGAGGCTGTTTGTTCAGCCAAAAGGCTTATTCAGATCTTGCTATTAAGCAGAGAGTTGAGCATCAGTCTCTTGCCTTTTATATTGTTTTTGAAGGACTCTGGGGCGACGATGAATTTCTTTGCTCCAAAAGCTTCGGTTTTATTCTCTGCTAGGAGCCTTCTGTTGCTGATATACTCTTCAATTTGAATATTTTTTGAGTTTATTGATTGGCCCTAGTTAACCCGAGGTACCACTGTATTGTGCTGGGTTTTTTTTTTAATTATGAGACTAAAAAGCAGGCAGCCCCACTGTAGCATTGGGAGTGGGATTAAACTAGTGGGTGAAACATAGTTGGATTGACTGGTCTGTAATCTTGCAAATTGCAGAACCAGATTCATACTGCAGGTGGACATTTTGTGTTAGATCTGCCTTCGTTGAGGGATCTGTGTGTTTCATAGATAAAATATATAAAAGGAGGGAGGTCCTGGCTCCCTCTCCACAGGCTTCTTTGCCTTCTTGGGACCATATTTTAAAACAAATCTACATGTGCCTTAACAGTACACTTGCCTCAATGTAAATATAGGTCTGTTAGTTTTTGAAGCACCTGTTTTGCCCTTTATGACTGGAGGGATTCACAGCCTTTTCTCCAGACTTCCTTTCCTTGCCTTGTCCCCCCCCCTCCCGAGGGGCAACCTCCTGGTTTCTCCTCCTTTAAATAGCTATCAGAAGCTGCAGGCCTCTCCCCGATGCAGGGAATAGCTCTGACCAACACAAGGACCTCATCAGTGTCCAACTCTGGTGTCGGGATATTTCACCTGCTTAGGACCAAACCGATGGCTCAGGTAGGCCTTGGGGCTTTCCTTTGTGCCTATTAGTTAAGGGCTACTTGTGCTGGCTGGGGCTGGCAGGAGCTGTTCTCCAGAACACCCAAAGGGCACCAGGTTGGACATGCCTGGTTTAAGCACACTGCCTAGGGGGACTCGGGCTGCAAACCAGCCTGAAGGCCTGCAGAGTGCACATTTCTACTTTTTTTTGCAGAAAAACTGACCTGCCTTTTCTTTTATATGTTAAAATAGTATATTTTTGAAAGAGTTTATAATGCGAATTAAAAGTATTAATCTTATTTCTTCAAGCTTGAGCAGCCAGCAAGGTTTCGTTTTGTTTGTTGGTAACAAGAGGGTTGGTGCCTTCGCCTTCTTCAGGAGGACCAAACTGGCTTAATTGCTTAATTGCGCATGCGCCACATGAAATGGATGTTTTTGCAGCATCTGAAAAGCCATCATCTTCTTGTATTCCATTTTATACACAAGTCCCTTTTGAATTTGGTGGGACTTGCTTCCCAGTGAGCACAGGGGTGCATGGCTCTGAACATACATGTTTACTCTGAAGTAAACCCCACCAAAATCAGTGTGGTTTGCTCATTCATGTGCACATAACTTTATGGCATTAATGGGTGACTGAGACAAACGCATTTAATGTGGTTTTAGTTTTCCTCCAGCTTTGCCTAGTCAAAGGACAGCTGCCTAAAACTGCTAGTCCAAGAGGTTGCTCTTGTTGGACAGAAAATCTAGTCTCTACTAGGAGAGCAGTTTTTTATCTGTTCACTCTTTTGGGGAAGCCACGTCCATGTAAGAAATGAGAATAGCTCTGCAGTGTGTAAATGTCTTAAGCCTTAAAGGGAAGTTATATTTCAACAGCAAAACTCTGAATGCCAGATGGGACAACTGGCAATCTCTCAACTCTTTAACCTCTCCTCTCCCCTTTAGAAACCGCCAGTTGATGAGGGGTGCTTTCCCCCTCAGTATTTTTGAAATTTGCAAACTTCATGTCTCCTTCTCACTTTCCATAGTGTTTTTTGTTTTGTTTTTTAAAAAGAAATAAAGCACTTTATCAAACTGCAGGAATTGGAGAACGTCTGACTACAGCTGATAAACTAAAAAAAAAATGTTTACAGATTTTATGACTATCCAAAAAAATAAAATAAGAATCTATCAAATGTTACAAAAATGTGTGTTTGTGAATGATGTATAAAACTTGTATTAAAAAAATAAAATTTATTTCAGTTGAAAAATTTATTACTCGTCTTTGAGATGGTGTCAGGGTGCTTGGTTACTCAAGCCTCTTGATGTGTGACAGGTTATTTCTTGGCTGCGTGTGGAGCAATGAACAATCAAACTGAGGAGATTGAACGACAGACATTTAAAACAGAAGAAATAAAAGGGCACTTTAAAACTGACGTATTCTCACTGTCTTTTAGTTATGATAAGAGGGATCTGCTTTGGGCTGTTTGCCCTCTTAGATTTTCTTTCCTAAAGACTACTTATTCTTCTACAAATGCTGGGAGACACCCCAAGCCTGCAGATAGCTTCCTCTTTGCATGTGGATGTCACCATTTTGGTTCTGTGCAGATTACCGTATAGAACTGGGATTGCTATTAGAATATATACATCCCTGCATGTTCAGAGGCAAGATGCTAGTGAATACTAGTTGCTAAGAGCAGGAAAAGGCTGGGTGTCTTTTATGCACTGCTAGTAGGTGTTCTGGAATCCTCCAGTTGACCACACTGAGAAAAACAGTATATTGGGACTTTTATTTTTAACACAAACTACACCTGGAAGCGATGCATCGTGCCCTGAAGCGACTCACTAGTCTCTTTCCTGCTTGCCATTACAGTCAATAAAACTTCTGCATAGAAGTGGTCGCCTTTGGGATGTGCAGCTTCTGTCCATAACCACTACTGGGAAGGAGAAAAAAGCTAAGCCACTAACGTGCAACCAGTTTAACATATACTCAAGAACAGAGGAGCTGGACCCTAAACACGATACAAAAGACAACACTATTTAAAGAAGGCACTAACCCGGCTTTTGCTGCAAAATGAAATTGTTGGCCTATGTGTTGAAATAGGAACAATCGGCAGTTAGGCAGTTGTGCATGCCTAAGAAGTGTTGCCCTTTGTCTCCTGCAAGAGAGCAGCTGCCCTGCTCTGTCACTAGCCTCGCACTTGCGGGAGAGAGTTGTTTCCTTCGCCATGGAGCTGATGGAAAGGGTCATTTGTGTCAAGTTCTTAACTGCTTGGTTCTCGGCCAATATGGCCAATGGTTCACATCTCAGCCATGAAGTGCTTAATGTCCTTGGTCTGCTCTTATATCTTCTCCACTTCTTTCAGGGTGTATTCTAAGATAGTGTCCTGCCCCTGGAACTTAAAGTAGCCAAGGAACTTCTTCTTCTGGAGCAGAAGAGGAAACCAGTAGATATCATCTGGCCACATGTTCTTGAAAGGCACCTGGTCCAGGTCAAACCATTGTGGACGCATTTCTGCAGGGAAGCGGGAACATGCACACAAGGGAAGAAGGATTAAGGACTGAAACAGATCTTCTTTAAATTATTTTTGGTCTCTGCACTCACCCCATGTCTGCTAAGTTTGTGGATTGATGAAAAAACTTTCACCAGAAACAAAGATGAAGCAAAGGAAAATTGTATGCACATACCAGGGGACATGCTACATCTCTCTCAAACCACTTTCTACAAAACAGCGGATCCTGGTGTTCAAGTTGGTTGGCCTCTAGAAAGGCCCCCCCTTCCCCCCTGTGGTTTCTACCAACTGGCATTCAGAAGCACTTATTGCCTCCGACAGCGGAGACAGAACACAGCTATGATGGTTTGTAGCCCCTCCTCCCACCCTACACAGTCTGCAATAACTGGACAACTTTTCTGAGCAGTTAAAGGTGTGCTCATTTAATGCACGATGCAGCCTTACTCCTCACAAGTTCTAGCCAAATAATTACATGAGCTGGTTGGGTGATGAAAAGATGAAACCATCCCGTGTCCCCAGTAACCCTGGAGGTGGGTGGGTGGAATTCTTTAGCTGAAAGATCCAGCACTTCATGCTTGTAAGATTGGGGAAAGTAGAAAGGAATTAAAAGGGCAGGTATGACTCTTCCACTCCCAACCACATTCCTACCATCGCTTTCCGTGGGGTCTCCTTGAAAACTGTCGGTGCGGAAAATATGGACTTCCATCAGCTCAGTGTTGCCCACAAACTCAAAAGTTATCTGTCCCATCTTCTGCAAGGTGTCCACCATCAGTCCACTCTCTTCCTTTAGCTCCCTGAATATAACGAGCAAGGTTAATTTTGCAGTAAGTGTGCATGAGCTAATTGATGCTTCTGTTTTCCAGAAAAAAAGACTTCCCCAACAATAATGACACAGATCTCATTGAAAAACTGTGGGGCATTTGGCCTGGATTCTTGCACTTGACTTCACCTGATTATACCAACGCCAATATACCGTATTGGCCCTAATATAAGCTGCACCCGCAAATAAGCTGCACCCTGAGTTTTAAAGGCCTATTTGTGGGTACGGCCAGCCTCCTGGCACTCCCACCCTGAATGGGGTATGGGGGGGGCGCCCAGTTCCAAGTGCGCTGTGCGCCTGCCCCCCGGCACTACCTCCCCAAGCCAGTGCTGGTTGCCCCCATCCAGGGTGGTACTGCCAGGGGATGGGCGGCAGCCAGCGCTTGGTGCCTCGCTGCCCAAGCTGGTGCTGGCACCCAGTTTTGAGCATGCTGTATGCCCGCCTCCCGCCACTACTGCCCTGAACGGGGGGCAGCCAGGGCAGGCTTGGGGAGGTAGTGCCGGGAGGCGGCCGTGCAGCTTTGCCGGCAGCCTCCCCCCGCCTGACAGCTCGGGGGAGGCTTGGGAGTGGCGCGCCATTGCCCCACACTCCCAGGCTGCTTTCCAGGGGTGGGGGCAGAAAGCTGTGCCGCTTTGGTGGCATACGGTGGCGAATATAAGCCGCACTTTAACTTTTCCCTGTCGGAATTTGGGGGAAAAGTGTGGCTTATATTCGGGCTAATACGGTACAACAAAGCCAGCTAATGTAAGCATACTTAAGAGCTGGTTCAGATGCTATTTGGCATTATATGGGAAAGCCTGGTGTGAGCTTTAGAATCATGTGCTTTTGCCTTCTGCCCATGCCAGTGGGTATCTATCACTGTGTTGCCCATACTTTGGAAGCAGGCATTAATTGCAGTTTAAACTGTTCACTTTGTACCTGATGCTGGCAGATGGTTGTTTCTCAGCTCCCCTATTATTCTTCCAACTGAGAGAGAATTGCTAATACTCTGAAAGCCTGTGGGTGTTTAGCTGATGCTGTTAATTAGACCTGTCTTTAGCTATGAGTAATGTGTGCTATTGGATATTTCTGGCGGTCACTCCCCATCAGGGATAATGGGAACCCTGGGCAGGGGTTTCAGCATCACTCTGGCACCTCTCCGATAGCTTCCATTTTTCAGAACTGCCCCTTTGATTTAATGTTTTGGCTAGTTTTAGAAAACCTTCCTGGAACGTGATGGCAGCCTCTAAAAGAAGGCATTTCCCTCACAACAGAGCGAAAGCTTTGCCATGTACACTGCAGCAATTAGGCAGAAGAAGAAGAAGAAGAAGAAGAGGAGGAGGAGGAGGAGGAGGAGGAGTTTGGACTTGATATCCTGCCCTTCACTCCCCTTAAGGACTCTCAAACCGGCTCACAATCTCCTTTCCCCTTCCTCCCCCACAACAAACACTCTGTGCTGTGAGGTGAGTGGGGCTGAGAGACTTCAGAGAAGTGTGACTAGTCCCCAGGTATGGCGGCTGATCTTATTGACAAGTGGCATATTTTTGTTAGAAGCTCAGCAATTCCACATTTGAATTCTTTGAAAATTTTTGGGTTGATGCCAGCTGGACCCAGCAATTTGTCACTTTTCATTTTGTCTATAAGGCCTAGAAATTCATCTCTCATCATCACCATTATCTGCCTCAGTTCCTCAGGCTATCCCTGAAGGAAGGAATTTTAATACATAAGGATATAAATGTTTGTTTTATACATTAAAATGTATATTTTTAAATGTTATTGTTTATATGACTGAATGTCTGTATTTTCTGTAAATAATATTTAAAACATGCCTATAATGAATAAACAATCTATTACAGGCACTAGGAAGACCGGTGTTGGCCTGGTGTCATTTCAATCTTACCTTTTTGCTGCCTGCTCAACTGTCTCGCCAGACTGCACCTTCCCTCCAAATCCGTTCCAGAGCCCAGCCCCAAATCCACGTTTTTTCATGCCCAGCAAGACTCGCCGTGGTTGCACCACCAGGACCAGAGTGAATACTTTTGTTGTCAGCATGCTTTAAGCTCTACAAAGGCAAGGAGACCAGCAGCAGATAATGTGTGCTCAGAATCAATGAAGCTTAGCAGACTACAACAGCTAGCAGATTTAACAACAGGTGTGGAAGGCGCAGTGGGACTTAGGGGAGCCACTGCTCTTCAAAAGCCCACATAAAGCCAATGTGGTATGCTTGTCAAAGTGCTGGACTGGGGGATTAGGGTTCAAATCCCCACCCAGCTCTGACCTTTGGTCAGTTTCTCAGCCTAACCTATCCCACAGGGTGGTTGTGGAAAATAAATGCAGGCTTATTGGCCCATTAGAAAAACCACAAAATCTTTCTTGGAGCCAATTTATTCACCACACCAATCCATATATCACAAAATCATCATTATTATTTGTTAAACTTTATTAGTCGCTTGCCAGCCAAAAAGTCTCCAAAACATGTACATTGAAATATAACATAACTACATTATACCATAGAAAGGGAGGGGAATCATGTTATTATTAGCATATAAAGCCCATAACAAGTTGGGACCAGTTTACCCGTGAGATCACTTTACCCTCCATGTGCCCACTTGACTGCTTTGATAGATGGAATTGGCACCACTAAAGGTGCCATATAATACCCATTCTGCATTTTGCAAGAACTCAATTGCTTAGTACGGCAGCACCTGCACTTCAGAACGGCCCATTAGATCAAGCAGAAGCCTTCACCCTACTATTCTCAGCGCCTGTTAAAAACATTCTTGTTTCAACAAGCTGATCCAGACGTTTTAGAAAGTTGAGGTAATTTTAATTGGTTTAAGTATTTAACCTTTGTATGTTTTAAAGCAGGGTTGTGAATTTTTCTTGATTTGATTGTTTTACCATTTGTGAAGCACTTTGAGGCTTTTTTCTTAAAGCAAGTGGTGTATTATATTTTATGAAATATATAAACAGATAAATAAATAGCACATTAATATTCCGTGCATAGGAGCCAACAACCTAGGGGTCAAGGCCCCTTTGCCCCTCCCAATAAAATATTTGAGGGGGCTGAGGCCCCTCCAAAGTTGATGGGCATTGCCATTCAAATGGTGTGGGGGTGGGGCTTACCTCCCCCCAATACTTTATTCAAGTTGGCACCCCTGATGCCATGCAACATATTGGAGAAACAAGGCCCACCCCCCAGCCTCCCCCATCAGTAATAAAAAACATTAGCGGTGCATAAACAATAAACGAAACAATAAGCAAAATAATGCCCCCCCCCGCGCACCAAATAATACGAAGCTACTTCGAGGACGTATTGGCTGCCCTAAAGAAGCTGTTGCCCTAAGAGGGGATTGTGGAATATCGCAGCCTTATAATAATAATAATAATAATTTATTTATATCCCGCCCATCTGGCTGGGTTTCCCCAGCCACTCTGGGCGGCTTCCAACAAAATATTAAAATGCAATGGTCTGTTAAACATTAAAAGCTTTAAAATATAGTCTTTCCTACCAGACCAAAGATCCCTGTGGCAGCTTCTCCAGCAAGGCGGGAAAATGCCACCCAGCGAGCAGGCGGGGACCTTCTCGAGGCGGTGCTTGCTAAGGAGGAAGAGGAAGAGCTTGCTCAAAAGAAGAAAAAGAAATGATATATTTCTCTCTCTCTCTCTTTCAGCCCAGGTGCCAATGTGCGGCGGAACCCAGCGCACGAGGCGCAGTTCCCCGGAGGACGCTTGAGGGAGCGTCCCAGGTTGGTGCAACACCTAAATGCGTCCCCCTCTCTAAGAAGCGGCCCTCGCGGAGGGAGAAGTCATGAGCCGGTAAGCAGCTGGAAACGAGGCCGGACTCCCTAGAGCAGCGAGCGGCTCTCTTCCGGTCCGGGACCGGGGAGCGGCAGCCTGACAACTCGCTCAGGGCGGCCGGCAGGCCGGGCGAAGGGTTACCAGGCGGCGACCCGCCTCCCCTTGACGCCTCCGGGAGGGCAGCCTCAGCGCCCGATTCCTCCCGTCGCCTTCCCTTTCTCTGCACCGCAGCTTCACGCGGCTAAAGAAGCCTTAATCGGCCGCTTGTGTGGGAAGTTGAGTTGTTGCTTGGGTTTGCACGTGGTGGAGTGGAAAACATTCGCCCTATGAATCGCAGGATCATAGGATTGTGGGAGTTGGAAGGGACCCCGCAGGGTCATCTAGCCCAACCCCCTACGATGCAGGAATCTTTTGTTCGAACCCACGACCCTGAGATTAGGAGTCTCATGGTCTAGCAACTGAGCTTTGCTCTTGAGCAGGCCTCCCCAAACTCTGCCCTCCAGATGTTTTGGGACTACAACTCCCATCATCCCTAGCTAACAGCACCAGTGGTCAGGGATGATGGGAATTGTAGTCCCAAAACATCTGGAGGGCCGAATTTGGGGGTGCCTGCTCTTGGGGATAGCGCTTGTTTGTGTTGCAAGAGGGACCGTTTGGGGGGAAAGGCATCAAATCGGCTCCCTCCTCCACCATGTTCCTCTCTCCTCCAAGGTGCTGTCTGCAGGTTCCATAAGTATTTAAACCAAACTTCGCCAGCCCTCCAACTGTTTTGAACTACAACTCCCATCAGCCCCAGCGATTCACCTTTGGGAGGTGGCCCCTGGAAGATTGAGGGAATGTGGCCCCTCAAACTGGCGCGTTAAAAGGAATCATGTGTGTTAAAAGGTGGGGATTCTAGCCCCCCGTCTGAAATTATAGCTGCCTTATTATCAAATTGACAAGCTTCTGCACCTTTAAGACCAGTTTAACTTCCAGAAAGGCAGCAACCAAAGCTTTCTCCATCCCTGTACCTACTTGCTGGGAGTAGTTTCAACTGTTTGTTGTGTAGGATTGGGACTGCAGTATTCCAGCTATGTCTGAGAAATTTTGGACGTATGGCAGCCCTATTGTTGTGCAGCTTCTAAAGTTATGGGACCGCCTGCGCATAAAGGATTATATACTCCGTCTCGCCACACTATCAGAATGTTGACCTGAAAAAGTTAGCCTGATAAAACAGTAGTAATGGAAGTTTATACACAGGGGGTGTTGGGACTCCACAAAAAATGATCAGTGATAATGCTACCAGTGTGAGGCAAAGCAGAAAGAGCCAGACTTTAATCTAGGAAGCCTGGCTTCTGGTCCTTCCTCTGCTATGGGTTCATTGTGTCACCACAATGTTGAACAGACCTGGACAAGTCTGTGTCAGTTGCATTTCTCTTCCGTAAATTGGGAAGAAATAGTGGCATGTTTCACAGGGTGTGTGTGTGGGGGGGAATGTGTACATTAAAAGTACAACACTTTGCAAATTAAGATTGCAATCTTACATCCTGATCCTATGCAGAGTTAGGGGGCAATCTAGCCACCCTGATCGACTATGGGGTGGCATGGCCATTGTCACATCCATAGTCCTGCTACTTGCACCAGCCAGGATAGAAGGGTGGTGGGAAGTGGGTTAAAATTCAGTGGGTCCTGTGCCAGCCCAGCTCCACTCCCTCCCTGCCACCAAAGTTTCCCATTTTCTAGTCTTCCTCTAGTAGCTTCTGTCCACCTTTTAGGATGGGCTCACTGGCAGTGGCACTGGCTTCCCTTCATCACTCAGTGCATGTCACAGGGGCATACTGACGTGTCGTGTGGATTCTCCATGGCATGTGCATGCCACCACGGGGGGGGGGGGAGACCCCTTCATTGAAAATTTGGGGAGTCCTGGGTCCCGCCAGCCCTGCATAGATGGCACCTGTGCCACTAAGATGCTCCTTGCTGGCAGAGGCCAGTGGATCCAGGCAGGGATGAGGAGAAGGACACCTCATCCTCATGCAACCCCTTCCAGCATGGTGGATTGGGGGTTGGATTACAGAAGTGCATTTATTTTAGAAACAGAGAGGATGGGAAGGGTGTTGATAATCCAGACAATCAGGTGCCAAATTCTAGATTCGGGTCCATAGTCATCAGATTGTTTGTGCCCATTGAGCAGTAGAATAACTTGCCCTTCCCTCCCCGGTAGATACTGGAAAATGCCAAATCTTTTGCTTCAGCACCAGAGGATCCACACTGCTGTACAATTTCTGAAAAGCAAAACGGGAGCAGAGCATCGTTGGCTGGAGCGGCATTTCAGTGACCCTTATGTGAAGAAGGCCAAGAAGGAGCACTATCGTTGCCGGAGTGTCTACAAACTGCTTGAAGTAGATGACAAATACCGCATCCTTTGCCCTGGGCTGCGTGTGATAGACTGTGGCACGGCCCCTGGTGCTTGGGCTCAGGTTGCAGTCCAGAGAGTCAATGCTATGGGTTCTGGTGAGTGCATTTAGAACAGGAGCAGAGCACATGCGGCTCTACAGAGGTTGCTGAACTACAATGCCCTTGACTTCTGATCATTGTGATGCTGTCTGGGGTTGATGGGTATTGGAGTCGAGCAGCACCTGAAAGACTGGACGTTTCCCACTCCTGAATTAAACTTATAGGTGGTCAGAGCCACTGCTGACCTGCCTTGTAATCTGTGACTCATTTCCACATTTAGTTGTAATTGCTGTGGGGCAGATGCGTCACAACAGTGTGGACACCTGGCTTTATCACTTTCAAATAAAGCCACAAGTATTTAACCCTCATGGTTTTGCAATTTTTTATAATGTCCAAGCAGTGTCTTTTGAATCCTTGGAGACTGGAAAAGGTTTCCTCAAGAAATGAGGCTGCAGGACTTATTTTGTCTCCTTCAGGACCTATGGCCCTCCTTATGTGGCTGATCTGGTCAATGCATGGATATCCCCTAAAGTCCCATGTTGGAAGAGAGGCAGGCTATAAATTAAATGAATATATATTCAATACTTGTTTCCTCCACCACCCTTGTTTCTAGTTGTCCTTCCCATAGTTTATTTTAGCCTGTAATCTCTGTAGGAGTAGGGACCTGTTTTTCTGTTTGTCTGGTTTTGTGCTTGTGAAAGCTCCCCATAAGATGTCATGATGGTCCTATAGCTGCTTGTCTATTTATAGCCATCTATCTTTAGCTAAATAAATAAACAATGTGATACATGATACTTGGCTGGGAACGCTCCCCCTTCTCCCCCTTTTCTTTTATAAATGCTGTTTCCATCCTTGCCAGAGAATTCATTTACTCTCATGGGTTCTCCCTCTGGAAAATGAAGGCGAGGGTTGTCTCGGAGGAACTTGGTTTAATTCATTAATGTTAGCAAAAGTGCTCTGAAAGCGGAAAATGTTGTTGCTGGCTGACTCTTGAGTGGCTTGACGACAATACGAGACAGTGATAGATGAGGATGATTTCTGAAATATTGATCTTTACAGAAAGGGTTGCTTCTCAAATAGCTTGTTATGGGGAGGCTTGCTAAAAATATCGTTTATGGGCTGGAATGGATTCTTGTGCCGGGCGTGGGTGAGGCTGACAGAACTTAGTCAGCATCTGTGTGGGAAGGTTGTGGATAGTGAATGCGATGAAACTTCCTAAGGCAAGTTGAGAAGAAGGTATTTGTTCCCTGGTCTCGCCCAAGTCCTAGTCTGACGCTTCAGCCATTACAACCCACTGGATAGATTGCACATTTAAAGGCTGCCTTCTTAGTTTGACACTTCTGTTTTCTAGATCCAGATGCCCCAATCGGCTTTGTTCTTGGAGTTGACCTCCTTCATGTTTTTCCTCTGGAAGGAGCAGTCCTTTTACCTCGCGCTGACATCACAGATCCAGTGACCCAAAAGAAAATCCAGGAAGTGCTCCCTAAAGGGATGGTGGATGTTATCCTGAGTGACATGGCACCCAATGCTACTGGTATCCGGCAACTAGATCATCATAAGTTGATCCATCTGTGCCTGTCTCTTTTGGATCTGGCTCAGCACATTTTGGAACCTGGAGGAACCATGCTCTGCAAGTACTGGGATGGAGGGGAGAGCCATCTCCTGCAAAAGAGACTGATGCAAGACTTCCAGGAGGTGAAGACCTTAAAACTCCAAGCCAGTAGGAAGGAATCTGCCGAGAGATATTACCTGGCGCAATCATACAAACGAGCAGCCCACAGGGCATCAAAAACATGAGCCACTGTGTGCGTGCTTTGTGTGGTACATTTGATGAAAGCTGCAGAGTTGGTTTGAGTTGGCAGAGAGCTGTAAGTCCAGAGTTTTTGTGAAACAATGAGCATCTTTGGAGGGATGTGGACCTCATTTGCCAGCTACTGCAACAGATCTTCTTCCCTTTGAAATAACCAGGAAATACGATTGAAGGGTGGTATAAAATATTTATAATAACTAAATAAAATCTAGATGTCATCAAGAGCCCAGTTCAGCTTTAACAACACACAAAACAGCACCAAGTGTTGGATAGATATTAGCCAGCTAGGAACCCCAGGGTTTCAGGCAAGAGTTCTTTCCAGCCCTACCTGGAGACACCTGAGACCTTCTGCATTCAAAGCAACTGTTCTGCCTCTGGACTGTGCCCCTTCTCCGCTTACTCATTTAAAACTACAACATGGAGAGATATCAGTTGACAGATGTTTCCTCTGAAATAACTTTTTTTCTTAAGTGCCATTTGTACAAAGTGTAACGCTTATCGATGCAATGTGCTGCACTGTACAGTTATGCAACTTGTAACAATACATTTTTTGGGGGGGAAACATCCATGCTGAGCTAGAACTTGTGTCAT